ATCTCATGGGAGGGCCCCACCCTCAAGAGCTTATATAAACCTAATTCTCTCCTAAAGGCCTCATCTACAAATACTCTTGGGTTTCAACGTGTGAATTTGGGCCGGGGGCACAATTCAGTCCACAGCAAGGGAAGAAGATGAGCAAAAGTCAGAGTCCTGGTACAGAGAGGCAGCAGTTAAAGGTGGAAATTGTGCTGTCAGAAGACAAGAGGAAGACATAAGAATGAGCAGTTAGCAGTGTCAGAAGCCAACAGGAAAGGTATGGAAAATATTCCACATGAAATTGATAATTATGTGACCATTAGTCTTTCATTTGGTCTGAACTCCAATTACACACATCTATATGCTATAATGTATTATTAAGGCAACACAAGATTATGTGCTACTAAGAGAGAGAGAGAGAGAGAGAGAGAGAGAGAGAGAGAGAGAGAGAGAGAGAGAGAATGCCTTTGTCTAGGGCCATGGTCGGCAAACTGCGGCTCGCGAGCCACATGAGGCTCTTTGGCCCCTTGAGTGTGGCTCTTCCACAAAATACCATGAAATACCACGTGCGGGTGTGCACGTACAGTGCAACTGAAACTTCGTGGCCCATGCGCAGAAGTTGGTATTTTGTGTAAGAGCCACACTCAAGGGGCCAAAGAGCCGCATGTGGTTCGCGAGCCGCAGTTTGCCGACCTCTGAAGGGTAACCAGAGAAGGCTTAACAGGCCAATTGACATGCAACATAGAACACAGTAAATAGAGTTCTGACAGACAAATATGGGAGTGAGAGATCATCTACGTTAAGGGTAAAGTATGAAAGTGGAAAGGGCATGGCTTACTTGGAAAATTGAGAGTAGCCAGGATTGTTGGAGCACATCATAGAAATCATAGAAAGGTAGGAGAGAAGTGGTAAATTTGTGCTTACAGGCTAGTAATATAAGGTGGGTTTCTCTCATCAATAGTTATTAAAATCCATTTTTTAACCCTCAGCACTATGTCCAAAATAGAATGTAAGAATATCATTTCACATGATACAGTGTACCAATGATGTGTCGTGGAATTGTGCACCTGAAAACTATAATTTTGTTAACCAGTGTCACCCTAATAAATTGACTAGAAAGGAAAAAAATACACACTATTAAAAATAAATTTAAAAAATAATATCATTTCACAGTAACTTTATGATTTTTCTTAGTCTTAAAATACCTATCAGACCTTATTTTAAAGCCTTTGATCAGGATTGAAACTAGCCAGGTTTTCCTGAAAACTGCTTTTTTTCTTTTTCAAAGTAAAAGTTACTTAATCTCGTTAGCTCTCAGACTTCTTCTCTCTAAGGTAGGAGATTGGGCTAGATTATTCCTTGAATTTCTCCCAGTTACAATCTTTTAGCATAGAAACCAATATTTTTACAAAAGCATCAAGGCATACTTCTTTTCAATAAAAACATTTAAGTTACACACTCATTTTTATTAAACTGGATATAAAATTCTCACTCTTTTTATGCTTGGACTTTCTAAATTCTAAATTCTTTAAACACTTTTAAAAACAATTATTACACATAATCCAATGGGGCTTAAAAAATACAGGTTAGCAGATAACTTATTAAAAATAGCAATTATGGAAACTCAGTAAAATCATTACACTGCAGAGACACAATAACTTCATGGTCACTTTGCCCAATTTCTACAATTTACACATGAGGCATCTGGAGTGTGGACAGATTAAGTGATTTAAGAGCTTAAGCTGAAGGCCACATGCCAACTTGGATTCCGTGGTGCCATTGTCCCTAGTCCACGAGGACAAGATTTAATGGTGAACTAACAACATAAACATCTGTTTTTCTGGTGATTGCTAAAATCTAGTTTCCGTTTTTTTAAGTTGTTGGTTACCAAATACAGGAAAAGTATATGAATTGCTTGGTAATATCTGTGTTCGTGGAGACCAAATCAGCAAATCAAATCTGGCAAGAGTTCCACAATGTCCTGTGCTGTGTTGGTGCCTTGCCACCAGCCAGGTGCAGGGGGTTTCACTTGCTGTGATCCTCCTCACCCATGGGACATCCTCAGACTGGCTTTTCTGATGCCACCTCTCTGTGGGGAAGGGACTGTCATGCTTCCGGCCATGATAGCCAACTACTCTGGACCCTTCCTCTTGCACCTCTTTGTGAATATATTTTATTGATTTTTTACAGAGAGGAAGGGAGAGAGATAGAGAGTTAGAAACATCGATGAGAGAGAAACATCGATCAGCTGCCTCTTGCACATCTCCTACTGGGGATGTGCCCACAACCCAGGTACATGCCCTTGACCGGAATCGAACCTGGGACCTTTCAGTCCGCAGGCCGATGCTCTATCCACTGAGCCAAACCGGTTTCGGCGTCTGGACCCTTCCTCTTACACCTCTTTGTGGGACTTTATCATTCTGGCACAGGCTGATTGGTAACTGCTGGCCCTGTATCACCACAAGTGCACAGCCCTGAGAGAGGGGACTCGTTTTTGAAGAGAAATCATCTGAAACTCTGAGGTTGGGGGCGAAGAGAGTTCACTCTCCTGTAGTTGTGATTAAAAGAAAGTGGAAAAAGTGCTGGAGGCTCTAATTCAAAAAGTCACACAAGCGTAGGCCTATGACTGATGGGCAGAATGGAGCAAAGGAAAGAAAAGAAGGGAGGAGGAAAAAGGAAATGGAGGCAATTAATTTCAAGAACTCCAAAGTAATAGAATCATAAAATCCCATAACTCCATCTTCTCTTTTGTGACTCTGCCATGGGTCAGGATGAATTTCTGTCTACTACAATTCTCAGTTTCCTGCCAGGTAAACACTCCCACAGGGAAGTGAGCTAACTTAACTTCCTGTTTTTTAAAAAAATCTGACACTTCGTATACTACCACTCAAAATCTAGACTAATGTGAAACCCAGTTCTCCAAGTAAACCCTTTCTTTCAAAACAAATAAGCAAACAAAAAATTCTTGTCCTCACACACGTTATTAATCTTTAAATATGAAGGGCTAAAATTCTTCTAATTGCACCAAATGAGATTCTTATGACCATTCTTTGGAACCAAAACTTCAGTTTATGCATATGAGAAAACTTCCATGAAGGGCAAGTGCTGGCCTCAGTCCAGTACTTTCTGCAGAATGCCATTCGATGGGTTAAATACTTTAAAATGAGTGCATTTTTTCATAAGCTTAATTTTACACTATGGTGAAATTCTGCATAAGGAGCAGATCACCATATGGAACTGTAAATAAGCCATTATCATATTGTCAATGTTTTTGTACAATAGGAATTGTGATTTAAGGAGTAGAAATAGAAAAGATAAATCATAATATCCTTACCTAACTCCACTTTTGACCTGATGTCATTCAAACTAAAATTGGAAAATTCAAGGGTTGTGGTGGTGAGGAATAAGGAAAGAGCTGAATGATTTTACTAAGAAATAGCTAATAACTGCCAGGGTTTATCTAATTAATTTTATCAGTAAATAGAATTTTGTTGGCTACTATTTATTTTGCCTTATCACAAAGACCAGACATTATAGATTTATACACATAATTACTTTGCAAAATACTTTTATGTCTGACACAATAATTCACCAGCTCAACCTTCACTGTAAGTAGTGCAATTGAATGTCTTAATAATTCTGTTGCTTCTCTACATAACTCAGAGAAGTGATGGTGGCAGTTTAAGGATGTTACCAGCTGGGCACCTTCCGGGTTGGGGTGGGGACGGGAAAGAGGTTCCTATTGCTAAAACCAGTAATTCTGCGTGTAACTATGCATGTCCCACCAACACGTGTGCCGCTGCAGATACAATCATTCCACACATCGAGTTCCCTGGATTTTAGGGCATGACATATATTTGTATCTTTACTCAAGCTTGGAAAAGTCACTTTCTGCCACTGGGAATCTCCATTTGCTCTTATAAAAAATTAGAATTATGACCGGGACATCTTTGGTTATTTCCCTTGGCCTTCTCTCTTTTCCTACAAGATGTTCACAAAAAGAAAGGGAGTATGCTATGAAACTAGGTTAAATTAGCTTGTTTCTACTCTAAGTTTCACAATTATAGACTACTTATAAAATACTAGTAATTTTGACTAGTCTACAAGCCCTAAATAAATCAAACCAGCAATTAAATTGTGCTGTTCAAGGCACTACTCTTTTAATATAATAAATATTTTAAAAGGGACCTGCTGATAAAACTAGTGTTTGTCCTGATGTCATTTGAGGGTCATAATTCAATGAGAAAAAAAAACACTTAACCACTTTTATGTAAACTACTCCAGCTAAAACAAAATCAGAGCAGTAATAAATCATACAGGAAGCATAATATTTTAAAAATGTATTCTATTGGGAAGTTTTCTGTGTATTAAAGCACATACTCAGTTTAAAAAACTTATAAAATTAAAAAAACATACAAATAATAATAATACATAAAATAATAATCCCACATAAAAATATCTAAGAACATTTTGATGTACAATAAATACATAGTAACCTTGTTTAGTGTGTATAGTTTTAACTATTCTTGAGCAACTCTAAAATTGGCATATAGTCTTATAATTTTTGCTTTTATAATCATGAGTCCAGTTCTAAGTCTGGGTCTGAAATGAGTGAACACTGTAGGTAGCGACTGTATAGTCCGACAACCTCCTTTCATTGGGGCTCCTTGTGTACATGCAACAACTACCTAATTTTTCCTTTATGGCATATGGCAGAATGATTTGCTATGGAAATATTCACCCACATGGGGATTCAAATTTGGCTTGTGAATGTTAATTTCTACTATATATTCCCTTCCCCATCTTTTTTTTGTCTTTTAGTTTATTAGTAGCAAAAAAAAAAAACAACAAAAAAAACACCACCTCTTTTTTTTCATTCTAAGAGATAGAATTGTGCTTGAAAACTGTCAACTTCTATAGATACTATTACACTAGAAAAACCTTTCTCTCCTATCCCTACATAGGCAGGTTGATTTTTCACTGAAAATGGCTTCAAGCTGCTCCTAATATTTACTCACTTATGCAGGTGCGTTCATCAGCATGGAGTCTGTATCCTGTATCACATTCACAGTGGAAGGTGCCCAGAGTGTTAATACAGCGCTGCTGGCAGCCTCCATTCACCACCGCACATTCATCGATATCTAGAGGAGGAAGACAGATGGCCAGGATTACAATGTCATTCCAATGTCAGCTTCACAGAAGTGGCCCAATATTTCTTTGATTCACAGTATGTGTTATATTGTACAAAGGCACCGGCTCTGTGACCACAAATCTTTCCTTGTTTGATCCATTTTGCTCCACAGTATAAACAAGAAAATGTAGATAGAAACTTTATTGAGCTTTTTAAAGCCCAGCAACAATAAGCATAAGGATTGTCTCACAATTTTCTCTTCTTCACGTACTGGTTAATTAGACAGATCTGAGATACAGATATTTCCTTGGGGCAGGGAGACTGGAGAATTACAATGAGCTACTCTATCTGGAGCAGCACACATTGGTAGATAAACACCTATTATTGGTCTGATACTGCTGAATGAAGCCAATAATAAAGACCTTGGATCTCCTTCTCATGTGGTATGGTGGACATCAGGGAATAGACACATTCAAACAAAAACCATGGGTTGGAGTTCTTAAAAATACACCAATATACTTGCTTCATTGATTTAGTCTCTTCCTTGTCAGTCAGGGTTCCATTTTCTAAAATATTTAATGTGAGACGTTACTTTCAATTTAGGAAAAAAGAAAACATTTAAAAAGAGGTCAAGACTCATAGTCTCCTGTATCTTATGATCAGTCAAGGTCATAATAAAAGAACATAATATCCATCTTCCTTTAGGAAAGGAAAGTCAATGTATCTCTTATAACCTACTAGAGGCCCGGTGCACGAATTCATGCATGGGTGTGGTCCCTAGGTCTAGCTGGTGATCAGAGCCAATCAGGGTCATCTTGTCCAGTCCTGATAGGGGCTGAACCGACCGGGGCCTGCAGGCTGGGGAAGCGAGGGACGCGAGGGGAGGGATTATGGGAGGTTGGCTGACTGTGGGAGGTTGGCTGTGGGAGCACACTGACCACGAGGGGGAAGCACCTGTATTGAGTGTCTGCCCCCTGGTGGTCAGTAAGCATCATAGCGACTGTTCTACAGGAGTTCTGGTCTTTCTACTTATTCAGTCATAATGGTCGCTTAGGCTTATATATATAGAGATACTTTCTTGTACCCTATATAATCAGTTCTTAATGTATCTGAAATTAAACACACAAAAAATGATATTCACAAATGTTGGGAAAGCTTTTCAGGTAATCAGTGTATTAAAGGCTTTAAATTTTCTTTTTAGAATATTTTTTCTTCAAAACCTGTCTTTTCACACAAGTCAAAGTATGGGAAGGCAAGTGTCTCATGCAGAGAATGTCCCCAACTTCCCATACCCCAATCCCTGATATTCAGGCAAAGAATGCTAGGTGTGAGCAATTTTCACTAAGATATGTTATCATAATAGACAATTAGCTTTACAATCAGTGAGATTAATTCCACAGGGCAAGATGCTTACTTGAGAAGACATCCACATTGGGAAGGAATGCTATTGCAATGCCTTATCACAGGAATTTTTCATGCTAAAATAACCTGGTCTATAACGCATATTTTGTACTATAATAAAAACTAAAGTATTTGATGCGAGGAAGGCAAAATGATTTTCTTTTACTTGACAATGCTTCTATATGAAAAAGAAAAACATATATAAAGAATATACTAACTCACAAAATAAGTCCCAGATTTTAAAATTACTAGCCCACTATATTATACAAAGTTCACTCAATCTATGATTTTCTTTTTAAAATTATATATGCTGAGATAATTTCAGATATACTTAATAGAGTCCTATTTTAGAGATAAGAACTAGTGACTTTTCAAAGCATTAGAAGTTTTATTAAATTTTGGACCTGTGATAAACAAATCTCTAAATCTTTTTCATATAAACTAATGTCAAACCAAAATTCTCCATTTCTTATTTGCACTTTGATATTTATGCTACCTAAATTTTTATCTTTCTAGCTTTAGTGTATTATTCCATAGGGTTGAGATATAACTTTGAATCCTAATTCTGTCAACCCCTGAATTAGATATCCTCCAAAGGGCTTTTATATTAGACATACAAATAAACTACCAGGAGTACTTTGTTTCAGATGACAATACACCAAAAATTGACATCATAAAAAAATTATCATGATATACCATATATTTTTATTTAAATACATTTAAAATGTCTTAAAGGATGTATACAGATACCAATGATTATTTCTTAGGAGGCATAAAGATATAGAGAATGAGTAAATTGCACGATGTGGGCATGGGGGTGTTGGACAAGAGATTTAGCCATATCTGTAATGTTTTAATTTTTTATAAGAAAACATTGTCAGGTATTATTTATGTAATAAAAAGTAATTTTATAAAAATAAATATACTATGATGACTTTCCCTTGCTCCTATCCATTAAGCTTCAATACTTTTCTTTCAAAAGAAACCAAATTAGTGCAAAAAAAATAATAACTCATAAGAGTGGACACTGATTTTAAGAATAGTCTTCTTTCAGTATGTGTTAGTGAGTTCATATTCTTAATCTGCCCTAGAATTATAATTAAAGTATTATATTAGAGTCCTAGGCATTTGGTTCAGTGGATAGAGTGTCGACCTGTGGACCTATGGGTCCCCTAAGGATACCTCGGTTGCAGGCTCCTCCCAGGCCCGGGCCCTGGTCAGGGTTTGTGCAGGAGGCAACCAATTGATGTGTTTCTCTCACATCAATATTTCTATCTGTCTTTCCCTCTCTCTTCCACTCTCTCTAAAAATCGATGGGAAAATATCCTTGGGTGAAGATTAAAAAAATAAAAATAAAGTACTACATTAGCAACACACACAAAATAAAAGCAAACCAAACTTTCTCTGTGCTTTGAATCAAATAGTCTTGGGAAAAACATCTTAGTGTTGAAAATTACTAGCCTGTCACCTTGCCTTTCTGAAACTCAGCCTTCTCATCTATAAAATGGAATAATAATGACTAACATAAGTACTATGTTATGATTTATTTTTTTCCTTTTCTAGTCCTACATGACAATTTGGAATAGATTAATAATGCTTGAGATTATATGTAGAAATTAAAAAACAACAACAGGTAATTTCATTCCACTAAGTGGAGGTAACAATATAAGACCATAGAGTGAGAGTGTATGATAGACACAGCTGCAACATCTGAGTTCAGAGGAGAGAAAATTAAGTGATAAGGCAATGTTTGGGGTAAAATCCGAGAACTGAGTGCATGGAGAAAAGGGAGGGCAGCTCAACGGTGTAGTGGTTTGAATGTGCAGTGTCTGAGATTCAGCAGTTAGACCTGTCAGGTTGGAAAATAAGGTTGGCAAAAGGAAGTAAAGTTGAAAAACAAATCTAAAATCTACTTTTAATTAATTTGGAAAGCAAAGTGTTCCTGGTCTTGATTTAAAATACAATACACTTTTAGGCAGGTTGAGACATAATAGGCTGTGTTCACACAGTAGCTAAGCAAACATATTAACAGTTAAGAAAATCAATCATTTATAGAGTGGTACCAAATATAAAGTAATTGGTTTGACTTCTTTTTTCCCTTTTCCCCCCTTTCAGAACATGCTGAATTTACTGATGGTTTGGGCATTGTGTAACCCATACTTCTCATACTTGGAAGCATGTTAAAATCATGGTGAGCATGATAAAATACCCATTTCTTGGTCCTGCCCTTAAAGAGTTTGATTTAATTGCTTTGGGGTAAGGCCTGAGAATCTCTTTAAACACACCCTAAGTGATGCTAATGTGTAGCCAGAGTTGAGATCCATCCACTGACTTAGTTAATGTTTTTTTTTAAATATTTTTATTGATTTTAGAGAGGAAAGGAGCGGGAGAGAGAGAGATAGAAACATCAATGATGAGAGAGAATCATTGATTGGCTGCCTCCTGCACACCCTACTGGGGATCAAGCCCGCAACCGAGGTACATGCCCTTGACCAGAATCAAACCCGGAACCCTTCAGTCCGCAGGCTGATGCTCTATCCACTGAGCCAAACCAGCTAGGGCTAGTTAATGTTTTAATAACCTAAGAACCTTGGTAAAATGCATATACTGATTCAGCAGACCTGGAGCTGGGGACCAAGATTCTGATGCCTAATAGATCCAATGTCATTCTAATGCTACTGGCCTGTGGACCATACTCTTAGTAGCAAGAGTGTACACAGTCCTTTGTTCAACCATCAATGTCACAAGGATCACAAAGGTCATGATTTGTTTCAACTTCTCAGTTGTTTGTCCAAAATAGATCAATTCACTCCAAACGATAACCAATACTCTAAACAAAATACTGTGTATATGTAATAAATACATATATTAATTATTTACCAAAAACTTCTAAAAATTAAAACACTAATAGTAGTTCCTACAAAATTCACTCCATAATGGTTACTAATTTCAAGATAATTTTAGCATCACCTGTTATTAGAAACTAGAGGCCCAGTGCATGAAATTCATGCAGGGGGTGGGGTATGTCCCTCAGCCCAGCCTGCACCCTCTCCAATCTGGGACCCCTCAAGGGATGTCCAACTGCCAGTTCAGGCCTGATCCCACTGGAAAATCCAGGACTGCTGGCTCCCAACCACTCGCCTGCCTGCCTGCCTGCCTGATTGCCCCTAACCAATTGTGCTCGCCAGCCTGATTGCCCCTAACCACTCCCCTGCCAGTCTGATCACCCCTAACTGCCCTCCCCTGCAGGCCTGGTCATCCCCAACTGCCCTCCCTTTCAGGTCTGGTCCCTACCAACTGTCCTCCCCTGCTGACCTGATAGCCCACAACTGCCCTCCCCTGCTGGCCATCTTGTGGTGACCATCTTGTGTCCACATGGGGGCAGCCATCTTTGACCACATGGGGGCGGCCATATTGTGTGTTGGAGTGATGGTCAATTTGCATATTTCCTTTTTATTATATAGGATGACTTGCTTCTGTAAAACATGAAGGGCATGCTAATTCTTTTCTGATGGAATATCTCTGATATGGGATAAAACCAGTTTAAATTGCCAGGATGTTAGACACTCATGCTGAAGCTGTCACAAGTGATTTTCTTTTCCATCAAGATGCTGCTCAACAAAGTCAAAAACCAGAAATGTCAATATTACATTAAATGTTATTATCAAGTATACTTCATGTGAAGAAACGATTTCTCCAAAAATCCTCTGAGTTGCATCTTTATGTTAGTTGTTTACAGAAAGCCCTGCCCTAAGAATTGGAGCTTCAGAACACTGCTGGGGATAATGATAAAGTAATGAGAATTTTTTTAGCATTGCCACTGTGATATGGACCAAGGATTTCATCATCTATAATAATAAAAGTGTAATATTCTAATTAGACCGGACAGCCAAATGACCTTTAGGATGTCATTCGGCAGTGGGGGCTGAGGCAGAGGTGGCTAGGGACAATCAGGTAGGCAGGCGAGTGGTTAGGGGCTTTCAGGCAGGCAGATGTGGTTAGGGGTGATCAGGCAGGCAGGCGAGCAGTTAGGGGTGATCAGGCAGGCAGGCGAGTGGTTAGGGGTGATCTGGCAGGCAGGCAGGCGAGCAGTTAGGAGCCAGCAGGCCCAGATTGCAAGAGGGATGTTCGACTGCCAGTTTAGGGATCGGGCCTAAACTGGCAGTTGGACATCCCTCGAGGAGTCCTGGATTGTGAGAGGGTGCAGGCCGGGCTGCGGGATCTCCTCCTCCCCCTACTCCCCCTTCCCCCCACCACTGTGCACTAATTTTGTGCACCAGGCCTCTAGTTTTTATACTATAAAAGAATATAGAAGATAATCAACCATGTCTGCTAGTTTTCCTTTTTCATGTCCTTTTTCTAAATATTTCTGCTGTATTTATCTCCCAAACTATCTCTCCAGATGGCCACAGAATATAATAGCTTAAAATACTTCACTTTATTATCAAATGTATTTTGCACATAAAAGCTCCTTGAGACAACAATGATCCACTTTTAAAAATCTGTAAACAAGAATAGTTTCGTATTATTTCTCTCAGTCTGTGCAACCATAGTAAGATAAGTCATTCTTACATTTGCCTTTTAACATTGTTTTCAGAAACCTGCTGATTGAAAATAAGTGTTCCTGGGTTGCTGTATGTTGGAGATTGCATTGTAGAAGTGTTAGCTTTGAAAGAAATATTGAAAAGTGTGACGGTGATTCCACTAGATCATTTGTGTAGTTTTGTTTTCACTCTTCTACTATACTACTTTCACTCTGATCTACTACAGTATATCAAAACTGCTGACTTTTTTGCTTGTAATTCTGTAGGACCTGATTGAATGAACTCCTTAAGGTCAAAGATCCTGTTGTATTAAGCATTTTCTGGCATGAAGTCGATAGTCCATAAATGTCCTATGAACAAATAAATGAATGTGTGGTTTAAAAGTCATCCACGGCATTCAGTCTTCTCATCCACCCATATTTATCAATGGGATTTCTAGGAATTGGGCTCTGGCCACACTCACCTTCTCTTTACCTTTGCAGTAAATTATTGATGTTAGTTTTTTTAAAAAAATATATTTTATTGATTTTTTACAGAGAGGAAGGGAGAGCGATAGAGAGTTAGAAACATCAATGAGAGAGAAACATCGATCAGCTGCCTCCTGCACATCTCCCACTGGGGATGTGCCCGCAACCAAGGTACATGCCCTTGACCGGAATCGAACCCGGGACCTTTCAGTCCACAGGCTGACACCCTATCCACTGAGCCAAACCGGTTTCAGCTGATGTTAGTTTTTTGACCACTTACAAGTAGCTTTAAAAATCTGGGATGCAGCCAAACCGGTTTGGCTCAGTGGATGGAGCGTCGGCCTGAGGACTGAAAGGTCCCAGGTTCGATTCCGGTCAAGGGCATGTACCTTGGTTGCGGGCACATCCCCAGTAGGAGGTGTGCAGGAGGCAGCTGGTCAATGTTTCTCTCTCATCGATGTTTCTAACTCTCTATCCCTCTCCCTTCCTTTCTGTAAAAAATCAATAAAATATATTTAAAAAAAAATCTGGGATGCAAAATAAATTATAAGTTTGACAATGAACACATTTGAACTGCATCTGTAGTGACTACGCACTGGTTGTCTATTTGGGACTCACTCATGTTCTTCACACATACTAAATAACTCCAAGGTTTTCCTTAGAGGAATTTTCTTTCCTTAATTTTAATGAAGTCATGTAGTTTCTATGGAATTGATGAACATTCCTCTCCCAAATCAGAGGTGGACTGTACTTGGTATAAACTCATTTGCCACAGTGATTAGACCAGATAATCTATTCATTAGCATAATGAGTTCTCAGGAATGAATGAATTAGTTCAAATGTGATTCAGTGAGTATGATGCTCCACAGAAGGGTTGGGAATCCTGGGACTTAAATGCCCTCTTCTCTGGAAATTGTAATTGTGGATGTGGGACATTTTATAGTTGCCATTTTGCTCCATGAGTGAAAGCTACATTAAAGATAAAGCCAACAAACAGGACAAAGCTGAGGTACTATAGAGAAGAGGAGCTAGAGCCCTGATTGAACTATGCCTGAAGTCCTCCTACCTCTGGGCTTCTCAGTTAAGTGACCCAATAACATCCTGCTATTGTTTAGGCATTCTGAGTTGCATGATTCTATTACTTGTGAGGGAAATCATCTAAGCCGATACATGTGTGCTGTATAGCCAGTGTGCAGGAGGAAGCCACCAAGTGCAGTTCAAACTCAACATAGACTTTTCAAAAATATGTATTGCCCTCTATTCAGTAAAATGGTTTAATCTATAATTCAGTAAGGGTCAGGAAAAGTCATTTAGTTCTCCTCGTCGCATTCATTGGAGCAATTGTATTCCATCAAAATTCTAACAAAGTTGGAAATATGTCACTATTTTTGTTCTTTTTTTATTACAGACATGAAGGGTTTATCAAACGGCCTGTGAAAAGTTGTGGTACATCTGATGGTGCCAAAGAGGTTGAAAGTGCCTTCTTGAATGGTTGCCTCATAACCCCCCTGTGAGTGATCCATCTCTAGCTTTCCCCTCAATCATTGGCCTCCTATTTCTTCTTTCATTCCTTTCTTGGTAGCTAAAATCGCAGGTAGTTTGGTAATCAGTACAAAATAAATGCATGCTGGTAACTCTGAAGATTCTATTGTTTTTTTTCTACATTATGCCCTTTTTTTTAAAATGTTACCAGTTTTCTAACTCAGTAATAAAAGTGGTCTTTCTCAGCATAATGCACCTAGCTCATAAAGAGGCAAATAGGGCAATGAGGTGTATTTTGAAATGAATAACAGTACTAGGAAGAAATAGAGCTCAAAAGTCTTGCTCTGAGGATAGGAGAGTATATTCTTTCATTGAAAATGGAAAGCCTTTGGAAAATGCTAGATATGTGGCTAGGTCTGATCATGGAGAATATTTTCTGCCATACTATATACTAGGGAAACATGGCTTTACTTTATAGCCAGTGGGCATCAGCAGGGCAAAGAACAGATTAGAGAAGTGGAAGGCTGATGGAAGAGAATCCAAGTAATAACCATTGCTGAAATCCATATGAAAGATGATGAGGAAGCTAGTGGCAGTGTAAATAGAGAGATGTGGGCATATATAAAAGGTGTTAAAAAGATAAAATCAATATAACTTGGTTATTAACTGGATGTGATGGAGACGAGGTAAGGTCAACCACCTTGAGCAATTTTATTGATGGTGTGGCATTCACCGGAATAGCACAGGAGGATGAACATTTGAAACTGGAAAAATAGTTCAGTTTTGGACATAAATAACTTGATGAACAAGTAAGATAGGAACTTGGGGATATCTAGTAGGAAATTGAGTACGCGGACTAAAATCAGGAAAAAAATATATATGGGCTGATTTTTCAGCTACTATTTATTTACCTGCACAAGCACAAAAATTAGGAGTCATCCTTGAGACTTTCCTCTTCTCCACCCATATTGGATCAAATACCAAATTTACTGTATATAACTTATCTCCTAAAACATAAAAATCTCTACACTGGTACCACTCCAATCCAACTGCATGAATGGTTGCAGTAGCCACTACAGTAGCCACTAAAGCTCCCTCTACATCCTTTAATGGGTCCTTCATTATCTTCCTACTGCACCACAGTGATGTTTTCAAAACGTCACCTACTCTCTGACTCTTGTCACTGTTTTACACCCTTCAATCACTTCCCATTATTCTCAGGATTAGACTGATCACCAACATGATCTTCAGATCTCTCTGTGGTCTGGTTTTTGCTTCCTTCTCTAATTCTATCTTGCTATTCTTTTCCCCCTGCTATGTTTTAGCAACACTAATCTTCAAGTTCCTTGAAGGCTCTTTACTCCCTTTTGTTTCCACTTTCCTTCCTTTACCTAGTGAATATCTATGCTTCTTGTAGATGTCCACTCAAGCACCACTACCTCAGGGAGCCCTGTATTTCTCCTTCAATCTAGGTAAAATTTATGTGTTATACTTTCCTAGGACTACCTTATTTTCCTTTGGAGTAATTAGCTCATCTATATGTTGTAGATTTGTATGTGTAATTATTTGTTTGATATCTGTGTTCTCCATTGTTAAATAAATTTCATGAGAGCACAACACTCTCAGTTTTGCACAGAACAGTAATCCCAGTGTTTGGCACATAGAAGATTCATTATAAATATCTGCTAAAGAACTAAATGAATGAGGTACAGAGTATTGGGCATCTCCATATAGATTGTAATTTAGTCACTAGATGGGTGATTTCCTTAAGCAAAAGCCTGTAGATAAAGAATGAGTCTAATAAAGAACCCTGAGAAATAGCCACATTTAAGCCAGGCTGAAGTAGGATACACAAAGCTGACCAAAAGGGCATACAGAGAAGTAGGAGGAAAACCAAGGGGGTCTGGCATTATGGAAACTGAGGGAGGTGGGGTCTAAAGAAGGAAAACATGGTCAACACAGGGATGTCAGGAAGAAACTGGAATTTAGCAACAAGATTTAGCATTAGATTTAGCAACAAAAATCTCAGTGATGACAGTGATGATGATAAGAATGTTAACTAAAATCATGCACCTACTGATCATTCAACACTATGTACTATGCACTGCTCTAAACTCTTTACATACTTATTCAATACTCAAGAAAACCTTGCAAAATAGGTACTGATATTACCTAGTGAATAGGTAATATACAATTTGACATATACTTAATGACATGCAAAATTATTTTTGTATTTCATAGGATTAGGCACCACTGGCAAAGCAAGGTAGGTAATTCAGTAAAACTAAGCTTAAGCAGAAATTCCTATAGTTGGTTTTGCGTAGCTAATTTTCTCTACATCTATTTCAACTCATAGTCTAAATATATTGATTCTCTTCCAGCTTTTAAGGAAGAACCAAACCCTCTGTGGGCTGAGAGCTAAATATGTTATTTCTTCTTTTTTTGATATTACTCCTACCTACAGAGGAGAAAGCTGATACATAGAAAGCTGTTTCAATGGAGCAGCTAACATTGACCCCAGATTGCAGTGGGTTGGATTGAAGAAGACCTGGGAGACAAAGAAGAAAGAGAGTTAAGATATGTGTTGCATTTCATTTGACTATTAAAGAGAAGAGATTGAAGTTGGGTAGGAGAGTGGAGTAAAGAGAGTAGGTTTTTAAGGTGGATAAGACTTGAGGTAGTTTAAATTCTAATGAGAAGTACCAAATAGAGATGGTTGATTTTAAAATGTAATAGAAAAATAAAAGTCTCAAATTATTGAGAATTTCAAATCACACCAGGATATTCTAAGAAAGTACATGTTGGGAGAAATAATCCACAATGGTCCCTGAGCATCCCCACACATCTTTGTTGGGTACACCGAGAATTCAGAGAGCCCTGATCACTCTTTATCCTAAAGCCATTTTTCAGGTCTGTTGGCCCAGAGGGATGAGCTAACATCTTCCTTGAAGAAAGAGCAGGCTTGTTTCCATTAATTACAAAAGTGGTGGATTCCCCAGGTCAGGGTTTCCCTGGTATAATGTGACCAGTTGTTTGTGCGGGCATCCAGAATGAGCCCTTTGTGTCATTGCTGTGAGGTTTGGGGAACATGGGGAATTGACACAAACAAATGAAACTCTGGCTGCTGCTTTTGCCATGAATAATAAAGCCCTTTGTTTCTGATCCAGGAGTCTCATGTCTTCTGTCAGCATCCATGAAACAGTAATAGATTAACATGTTAGCTCAGTGGTCGGCAAACTGCGGCTCGCGAGCCACATGCGGCTCTTTGGCCCCTTGAGTGTGGCCACGAAGTTTCAATCGCACTGTACGTGCACGCCTGCACGTGGTATTTTGTGGAAGAGCCACACTCAAGGGGCCGCAGTTTGCCGACCACTGTGTTAGCATAAAAGTAGGGTTAAATCCCAGATTCTGCCGTTTTTGATAGTACATAAGCAGAATAGAAATCACACACATAACTGTCTCTTACTCTAGGTTAGAGAGAGCATGCCCATTGCAGAGTGGAAGGATCTTAGAAGCCAGAGGATGTCCCTGTCTCCCCCCTGTTATACTTATTAATTGCTTGTCGCCTTAGAATTATTAGCACAGTGATACTGAGTAGATGTTTTATCTGCCTGACTCTGATTTGACAATCTGATCCTGTGTGTTATCTCATAAGGTAGGAAGGAAAATATGTCGTGCTAGTGTGTCTTCCTATGATTTGAGTAACAGTGAGAACACAAATACCCAATCCAAGGAACTAATAATTTTGCTCTATTGTTAGCTTCTTGAGGACAGAGATGGTATGTGTTTTGCGTATCACCATGTTAGCAATAACTAAGAGAGTGTCTTGTCCAATACTATGTGTATAATAACATTTGTTGGAAATTTGAAAAAAAGAACAAATGGATAATGGATAGCTGATTTTGCAGAGAAAGAGAATTCAGCAAATGAGACTGAGAAAAGGGGGAGTGAGAGAAAGTGGAAAGGGGTGGAAAGGAGGACAGTGTAGAAACCTGGCACACAAGGAGAAGAGTCTTTTTAAAAGGGAGTGAATATATTATCAATGCTGAAGAAAATCAAATAAAATGGGGCCTGGAAAAATCTGGTAGATATGGGAATTTTAAGGTCTTTCTGCTAAAGTGCAGAATGAGGATAGCAAGTTAGCCTTTGGGGATGTCTATTTCTTTAAAATTTTTCTAAACCCTGAATATTCTTCTTTTTTCGTTATTGAAAACAGAACTGCAAAGGTCATGCTTTCATGAATCTATTATATGGCCGCCTCATCTATAACATGACCCAATATCATGCCCGAGAACCACAGTGTGACAACACTCTGGTATGTTATGATACAATATTGTCATATAGTCTCTCTGTGTGAAGGAGCAGCGAACAATGAAAATAAAACAGAGCTTACTCACAGTCACAGAGCTAGTCCATAATCTTAATCCACAGAGCTTCCACAAACATCAATTTGACATATACTTAATGACATGCAAAATTATTTTTGTATTTCATAGGATTAGGCACCACTGGCAAAGCAAGGTAGGTAATTCAGTAAAACTAAGCTTAAGCAGAAATTCCTATAGTTGGTTTTGCTTAGCTAATTTTCTCTACATCTATTTCAACTCATAGTCTAAATATATTGATTCTCTTCCAGCTTTTAAGTAAGAACCAAACCCTCTGTGGGCTGAGAGCTAAATATGTTATTTCTAGGGATGAACATTGGGTTACAGAAACAGAAACCTTGAACCAAACTCCCAGTTCACTCCCGAGGAGAATGTATGATATGATTTTCTGAGAGATTATAATCTTTGGGACAGTGGTTGTTTCTGATTCTTTTTTTTCCCTCAGCATCAAACCTAACTCTAGCATTTAGGTTCTAACATAACTCTAGCATTTAGGCTGTGCTCGGAGGATGTCTACTTGCTGGCTTAGGCCCGCTCCCTGGGGGATCTGGCCCAAGCTGGCAGTCAGACATCCCTCTGCACAGGGCTTGGAAATTGGAGGCAGGTAGTGAATAATAATTGTCTGGCTGACTGCCCATTTGACTGAGATACTGAAGTTTATCTAAAAACTAGAGGCTCAGTGCATGAAATTTGTGCATGGGTAGGGTCCCTAGCAGCTGCCGGCTGCTGGCCAGGGCCTCCATTCCCTGGCTGCCGGCTGCCACCTGGGGCCTTCCTTCATTCCATGCCGCCACCTGGTGGTCAGAGCACATCATAGCGAGCGATCGAACTCCCAGTCGATCGAACTCCCGAGGGGACACCTTGCACATTAGGCTTTTATATATATGAACTAGAGGCCCAGTGCACAAAAATTTGTGCACTGGGGGGGGGGTCCCTCAGCTTGGCCTGTGCCCTCTCGCAGTCTGGGACCCCTGAGGGGATGACCACCTGCTGGCTTAGGCCTGCTCCCTGGGGGATCAGGCCTAAGCTGGCAGTCAGACATCCCTCTGGCAGCTCGGGAGCCCTCAGGAGATGTCCACTTGCCAGTGGGGAGCAGGCCTAAGCTGCAGTCAGACATCCTTAGTGCTGCTGAGGAGGCGGGATAGGCTCCCACCACCACTGCTGTACTGACAGCCATCAGCCTGGCTTGTGGCTGAGTAGAGCTCCCCCTGTGGGAGTGCACTGACCACCAGGGGGCAGCTCCTGCATTGAGCATCTGCCCCATGGTGGTCAGTGTGTGTCATAGTGACCAGTCATTACCAGTCGTTCTGCAGTTAGGGTCAATTTGCATATTATGCTTTTATTATATAGGAGTGCCTGGCCAGCCTGGGTGAGGGGCTGATGGCTGTTTGCAGGCTGGCCACAGTCCCTTCAGGGTAGGGGTTCCCACTGGGGTGCTTGGCCATCCTGGGTGAGGGGCTAATGGCTGTTTGCAGGCTGGCCACATCCCCTTCAGGGTGGGGGGGGGTCCTGCTGGGGTGCCTGGCCATCCTGGGTGAGGGCTGAGGGCCATTTGCAGGATGGCCACAGCCCCTTCAGGGTGGGGGGTCCTGCTGGGGTGCCTGGCCAGTCTGGGTGAGGGTCTGAGGACCGTTTTCAGGCTGGCTAAGCCCCCCAGCGGGAACCCTCACCCCATGAGGGTTTGGCTAGCCTGGGTGAGGGGCTGATGGCTGTTTGCAGGCTGGCCACAACACCCAG